TATCGGCGCCATGCGATTCCCAGATATAAACATCATGAAGTCGACTTTCAAGCTTTTTAAACAGTTGAATCTTCCGGTGATCCCATATTTCCTCGACCAGCAGAGTGGCTCTGTCAAATGCCCAACCATGTATAATGGCATAACACTCATCGATGGCGAGCCGCGTGGCTCTGATCCGTTTCGTGTTGGCGAAGCGAATGGAGGTTCAGTTCCTGACGCGAATGTAGACGACGTGAACAAACTGCTCAATGGTGTCTATGAACCTTTCAAGAAGGCGATGGCTGCAGATTTCGAAGAAGGCTTTAAGCACCTAATGAAGTATGATAGCTATACCACTCGCGAAATGCTGAAAAATCCACCACCCCCGTCTAAGAATGGACTGACACCCTTGAAATCCCTGGACTTTTTCAGTGTCCAGTGGCTGGAGACCAACAACACAGCAACCGGCCTCTTTGATAAAGCATTTTCGGAAGCAGCCATGGACTCTTTCGACTTTGCTGGACCTAAAAAAGAGGACATAAAGTGGTACTGCATCGACGGCGGATCTTCAGTTTTGATCCAGACCATGGTAAAGACTATCAAGCAACCTGTACAGCATGGAAAACGCGTGCAAAAATACACCCAGAATTCAAAGACCAAAGAAATCACTGTTTCTGTCGCTGGGGAGCCCGAAGGAGCTCGTCTTCCCTATTCTTCCGTCTTTAACACAACCAGCCTGCCGTGTCTGCAACGAATAGATTCAACCAGTCTCGATCTGCATCCTAGTCAAAAGGACGCAATCAGAAGTTTGCACTACGACGACAGTGCAAAGGTGGCCATGAAATTCTCTTACCCGTGGTGGATAACGAAATGCGGCATCAGAAGCGGCGGCGAGGCCACCACAGATACACCCCTTCGCACGTGCGTGTACCCATCTTATAATGTTCACGACCCGCAAGATCAGTCGGCCACTCTTATCTGTAGCTACACGTGGGCTCAGGATGCGACGCGCATTGGTAGTCTGATCGCGCGCTACGACAACGAGCTCCGTGACCTAATGCTAGATAATCTGGCACGGGTGCACCTTAAAAGTTTCCAACAACAAGCCCCCACTTCCTATCATGGCCTTACTACTCTTGATGAGGTTCGCCAGATTATCGGCGACGCCTATATATCACATCACGCTTGGAGCTGGTCGCATGATCCGTTCACTTCGGGCGCCTTTGCACTATTTGGGCCTGGCAAATTCTCCAACTTGTACCCTTATCTCACACGCCCAGCGGCGGACAGCCGTTTCCACATCTGTGGAGAGGCGAGCAGTGGGCACCATGGGTGGATTGGTGGTAGCTTAGATAGTGCACTTGCTAGCGTGCACAAGTTCTTGAGAAGATTTGATATGTGGGAGAAGCAACGAGAGTTGAAGGACCTATGGGACATGCCTCCAGAGGTAGAGGATGGTGTTGATGGTACACTGCATCTGCAGGTCGCATTGGGCATGATCCCAACGAGCGGTGTGGTTCTGCGAAATATAGTCAGACCTGCACATAACGAAAATAGGGCTACGCGGGGTTGCGTTGTTTCATAGCAGATATCGCTACAAGGTACAAAGTATATGTAACGCGGATAATAGTTATGTATGTTGATTTGTATCGTACCTGTACGTAGGTTCTTTTGTTCTGATAAGGGACTTCCCCCGCTTCGTAGACTACCGCGTTAGTATCTATCAGCATAGTTGTCAACAAGCAAAGCAATCAAGTTTGAGGCTCTATACTTGCTTTGATTGGTGTTTTTTTAGTGTTAAGCTTAATTTGATCAGCTTGATAGGTGAAAAGAGAGTGCTTAATTAGTAGGCTTGATTAGCTTGATTGCTAGGTACTCTACGGGGACTCTAGAGAGTAAAAGAGACGGTTTCTAGCGCTCTAAAAGTGTAGAAAGAGATGTTCTAAGCGTGTTTCTAACTAAGGTAGGGGTAAAATAGTCGTTCACTAACAATATATCCACCCTATTAATAATACACAGTATATATCGAGGGAGTGTAACCTACCGGGCGGCTTTTAGGGGGATATCAACGCTTAGAGACGCTGTATCGTACCCGGAGGTAGGTAATATCGTTCGGTGAATAGGCTCTATAAGGTGGGCGGGACGTCTGTTTTAAGAAGTAGTTAGCCACGCTCTACGGTAGTAGTTAGAGCTGTCACGGTTTGGGGTCTCTCCTGCTCTGCTCCTGCAGTCGCAACTTACCTTTGTAATGAAACGATGCCTATCTAGGACCAGCGCTGTTTACGGTCACCCATCTACATATACAGTTCGTAGACTCAGACAATACAACCTCACCGAACATCAACTTTTCCAGGTCAACGAAAGGTCGATATCCATCGATTTTTCATCAAAACAAGACTCAAATGCCTTCTTAAATCTGTTTTCCAGCGTCCTCTTCCGGCTGCAGGCGCTGTGGCAGGCGCGCTGGCCTCTTTTGTCTTTCATCTCCCTGGTGAGCTGAGATGTCTTCAAAATGGCCCGTGCGCTACTCAGATTTTCACGTTCGGTCGAAGGCCACAACCACCGCTAAGACAAGGAGACAGCCTTGACACTCCTTGTTCTTGCAAGATACAGGCATCTGCCAGGCCTAAATACAAAGGCTCTCCATGCGCAGAGCTACGGCACGACCCGACAGAGCACCGGCTCTCCACACCTACAACGACGAGAGCTGCCCGCAGCTCTCTAAAGACCAACGGTCAGAGTCCCCGATCTGACACAACACGCAAATAAGGCAGCCAGCATAGCCTTACAAACAAATTGGAGACGGGGAAGGACAAGCTCTGGCATCGCCTTGCCTTCACACCCACCTCTCCTACACCTCGAAGGCCCTGTCCCTGCTTCATGCAGGGCCATGACACCTACACGACAGAGCACTGGCTCTTGACCGCAAATAAGGCAGCCAGCATGGCCTTACAGATTCGCAACTTTAAGAGATAAAGAAGAAGGACAGGCCTGGCTCTGCCTTCCTACTACACCTATCTCCTTCGACACAGGCATCGCCAAGCCTAGTACAAAGGCTCTCCTCGCGCAGAGCCACGGCTCCGATTCGACAGAGCACCGGCTCTCCACACCCACGTACCTTTTTCTTACTCTCTCTTACGGCACTTAGCTGCCTCAGAACACAAGGGATCCACCCTAATGCCTACTGGCCCCAGAACAAGAGCTCTGCTTCATTGCTCAACACATCCCTGGCCCCACGGCCCAGAACCTAGATAGAGTCTTTTCAACTGGCGGAAATTACCCTACCAGACTGCACACACTGCCAACACCCAAAGAATAGGAGCACCTGAGTACCATACAGGGCGCTACCCGTCTTTCATGCCCCCTGGGAGGCTTTCATAGGACGTTAAACAATACATACATACATACATACATACATACATACACAATACCACCTCAGTTCAATCCTTCAATTCTTGTAGCACCCACTATCCTCGAGATATTCACTACGCGCTAAAGTATGACTGGCCTCCGGCTATTCGCGGAGGATCCAAGAAACTGTCCAGCTATGGGTCTTCGTCAGGGATTTCCAACTATTTTTCATCCTCTGCCATATAGTTCTCTAAATGATCAAGGTAGGATGCGCCGTATCACTGCAGTGTACTGAAAGAAGTCACGGATGTCTCAATCTTCATCCACATCATCATCTAGAAAGCTGCTAACGGAAAATCTGCTATTCATGTGATGGGAAAGGCTAAGATACCGATATCAATA